GGTCATTATGGGAATAGATGGGGATAAGTAGAAACTCTGCTGGTTGGGAAGCCTAGGACCCGGGGTATATACCCAATTCTGTCAGGTAAAATTAGGAAACCGTTCTATATGTGAATAGTAGGTTTGCAACTCTTTTCGATAAAATGGCAAGGTCGGAAATTGAAGCTGAAGTAGGCCATTCGGTCCCTCAAGCCTACTTTACCATTTAACTAGATTGTGGCTAATCATCTACTTCAACACCATTTTCTTGAACTAGCCCCGTATTCCTGGGCATCTTTAATATCTAAAATATTGATCAACTGCTTGACTGTACTCCAGGACTGAACCTCCACAAACCTGGGGGGTTGCATAATTCCAAAGATTCATTGCCTTCAGTTAAAAAAGAAAACTGCTCCTCATTTCATTCCTAAATGACCTGCCTTTTGTTCTAAGACATGATCCCTAATTCTAGACACCCCAGCCAGGGAAAACCTTCCTGCATCTACACTATCAAGTCCTGTAGGAATTTTGTGTGCTTCATTGGTAGATATATTAATTTTCAAGCTGAAAGTGATTAGATTTTTTGCATATAAAGAATTGGATAATGGAAGAAAGGTAGCTATATAGAGTTAAGTTACAGATTGGTCATGATCGTACTCAAATAGTGGAGCAAGCTTGAGGCATCTAATGGTCTTCTTATATCTGGAGACACTTTGATTTAATTACTTAGATATTCAAGAGTATTCCTTTATGTCATTTTTTACATGATCTTTAATATAGTTAAATACATTTATTTGCCAGGTTATTCTATATTTATATTGCTACTTTCAAAATTTTATCTTGATTCCCAGCGCAGTGAGCCTTTTATTAACCGGCACCTACGGAACTAAGAGCGTACTGCTTGATCAAATATTTCAGATAAACAAGAGGTCCACATAATCAATGTAAAAACATACACTAAATAATAGAAAGGTAATGCAGGGGGTATACACATCACTGCTATACCTTATTTACAGCACAGATCACTTAAATAATAATGCACCTTTGCCTTAAATAAAACTTGCCAGCAGAGAGCCTTCTCACTTGTACCTTCAACTGACTACTTGGACATTGCGGCGATTGCAATAATGCAGTAAACATCTGGTATTTCAGGCATATAGTTATGCCGGTTTATCGAGAGTGCTGGTTAAAACAAAGATTGCTGTAATATAAATTTGAAGTGAAACATAAATGCTAGTTTCTGATTATTTGTATTGTAAAGCATATGGCAATCAAGCTTATTTGGTAGTTGGTACACACCTTTTTTTGTACTCATTTGAGGGGTTGTGGGCTTCATTGGCTGAGCCAGGATTGATTGCTCATCCTTAGTTGGCCTGAGACTTGGTAATTAAATAAATGCCATCATAGCTTTTATGTCCTTAATATCTTTAAATTTGTTCAGAATTTATTTATATTACCTATAGCATCAACAATATCAGTATTTAATTTGTGAAACACATCCTTAATTGTCATCCTCTGAAGAAGTAACAATTCATATACAGTTTAAAGAATGCCACTAGCTTGTCTGTGCCATGTCAAGTAGACATTCTGCATATATACTTGCAGAAAACTGTTAATATTCTATTCCAGTTCAGCACTGGAGCTGAACTGGAACCTTATCCCAACCAGCAACCTGATACACATACCCAGTAAGAATAGGAACTCGAATTTTCTTTTACTTTTGTCTGGGCTCTTAGGGTCAGTGCTGGCCTAGCTGTTATCAGGTAAAGTAACAAAGATCTTTTTTATTTTCTGTGGCTTTGCAATCATGCAAATAGTTTTACACTGATGTACTAAGTGCTAAAGTTTTCCATATCAGTTATTTCTAATGATTAACCTATTTTGAAAAAAGATGTAATCTTTTGATCTGTATCTCTTCTTTTGGTGACGCTAGTTATAAATGCATCTTTCTCAAAAAAAGGAAATCCCTATCCACAAAAGACAAAAAAAAGGCCAAATGAAATTTCCTGTTTCATTAAACTGATCTATTATCAACACAATATTCAGGATATGCATGGATTGCAGAAAACTAGAATGCTGGTACAGCAGGTAATAAGAAAGGCAAATAGAATTTTGACATTTATTTCTAAAGGAATAAAGTGCGAAATTAGGGAGAAGTTGCTGCAACAGTACAAGACATTAGTGAGGCTGCACCTGGAGTATTGAGTACAATATTTGATCCCCTTACTGGAAAGGAATGAGACCATTCAAAAGAGGTTCACTAGATTGAACCTTGTACAATGGAACTGGGATACACTCTCCATCTCTATGGATGGAAAACTCAGTCCTTCTCCAGCAAGATAGTTTGACTAGCCACTGTATCCCTGAGAATTGTTGTGAGCTTGGACCCTTGCTTTGAAGAAAAAGGGGTTATCTACCCTTTTGATAAAAACCCTTCATATTTCTCATCTGCTGTATGTACTACTTCTACACACTCAGCAGTGTCCACTTTCTCAGTTGTAGTTAAAGCTACAACCTGATATGTGACCTTTTCCTTCTGAGTTTCCTTTTCAGACTCCTTGCAAACTCCAATATGCCCTAAAGGTTTCCCTTTCAATTTCTAGCATTGTGAACAAATGTATCTCACTTTGTTACAATAGGAACATCTTGGCTTCTGATTTTCACCTCCTCCCTCAGCACTTGCCTTTCTGATCTGAGGAGACCTTGAGGCATTACCAGCTATCCAAACTGTCCATTCCTTATCTTGGCTACTTTCAGTCTTCTATTTCTGTCCTTTTCAAACTTATGAGGATGATAGAAAAATGTTTATTTTTAATGGCTTAACTCATATCATCAGCTATTATTGCCACCAGTAACAGTAGTGGCAACGTTTTGGTCCTCAATATGAGCTCTTATTACGGAAGATAGAGAGTTTTTAAATTTCTCTAAGAGCTTCATATGATCTTATCCACCTGTGACTTTGCTAACTCTATTGAATTCAAAATAAATGCTTCAGGAAAAGTTTTCTTCAAATTTAAGCTGATTATTTTTACTGCAGAGAACAGGTAGCTTCTACTCAGGAGAACTACTACAGACTGTGTCTTTGCTTCTCTCTGTGTCTCTCTCGTGCGCGCGCTCTCTCTCTCTCTCTCTCTCTCTCTCTCTCTCTCTCTC